TTAAGATTAAGAACTCTTTTCTAGTTTTAGTTCTACACTTTATTTACAAAGCTTTAAGGGGCTTTGTTTAATCAATAGTGAAACTGGTACAATATGTCTCTTCTGGCCGCAGTACCGGCTGTTGGGCAATTTTCACGTCTACTCTTTTAATATAAAAAAATGTATACCTGTACGCAAACCTTAAAAGAATGTTACAGCACACCTGTGTAATGATAAGATTAATGTTGAAATATACTGTAAGATACATATAAATAAGTATAGATTTTGTTAAAAATAATAAATTTTTTACGTACTGGCCGCAATCCACTTTTCAACTACACATCAATATTATTAAGGATTTAAGGACATGCATTTTTTTTTCCACGGACCATAATAAATCTCATAGATTGAAAAGTCCTACTGCATATTTTAATTATTAAAATCAATACTATTAAGTACCATAAATCTGTATACTATTTTATTTTCTATTATAATATATAATATATTCTACAGTAAATGGATAGATATAACCAAAATATAGTTTGAATATATCTATCCATATTTGTTAACGATGACTTAGAACTATTTTCGCTTATGTATTTATTGTATTTAGTTGGATTATTTAAATATATAAATGTGTATCTTAAAATAAACTTTATTAAATTTTTAAATATACATCAATGGCTGTTTTCATCTACAAATATATAAAATTTTACATATCTGAGTACATATTCGCTTGTATCTTCAGTACAAATGCAATGCATATTCAATTTATATTCTATATAAACTGAATTCATTACTGTGTAAAATGTTATTGAAAAAATTCATTAAAATCAATCAACGAAATTGAAATTCACGTATGAATAGAAACGGAAAATTCGTTTATTAACTTTACAAGTACGAATCTCTTTTGTATCGAGGAAATTCGAAAGCGAGTATCTGCGATAGGAACACTTATTCTGTTGCATATCCTGGCGCATCCCATTCATTCTGCTTAATTTTATTGCCATTTTGTGTCAATTTATGAAATATTAAAAATGTTTTCTGTATATGTAAATTACAGATATTGTATATAATTCAATTACAACGGCAGAAAATGATTTCCACGGCAAAAGCGTTCAAGCAAAAATGCACTTCGCCAAAGGGGAAATCCACCCAAACTCAGTATTTACATACTTACAAGCAATTAATTGGTTTTTAATACTTTTGGATGAAAAGTAATTCAGAATCAATGCACAATAAATGGAAAAATTTTAACTTTGACACTATTTCTCTTAATAAAGTTCAAGTGATTTTATACATACGAGTATATTGGAATTTATAGTATTTAAATTAATTTTATTTATTTTTTTATTTTTTTTATTCATTTATTTTTAAATAAAAATTTAAAAAAAAAAATAAATGAATGAAATTAATTTATTTTCAATGCCATTTTAATATTTTAACTCAAACATAATATAAATTTTATGAAGCCCTTTTTTGTTTATCCTGCACGCCTCTGACTTTTAAGTACATACATTTTAAAATGTTGTAAATATTTTTTAATATTATATTATTAATTTTATTACAGTATTTATTTTTAAATACAAAGGGAAAAAGTATATTACTTATTCAGAATGACTTCCATACGTTGATGATTTTTCCCTTAATTTGATTACTCTTTATGCAAATTGCAAAGTGCATTTTAAAAATGTCTACTTCTGGTTATTTAATTTAATACAGGAACTTTTTATACATACCTTATTAATTACATGTTATATGAAAGGAAAAAGTGTATAACAGAAATAAAATAAAATATTTAGTTTAGTTCATAATATATTAAGTTAATAAAAACGAATGCATAGTATATCAGTTTGATAACAGATTTTCAAACTTTTTGTAAATAAATTTTTTTAGAGGTACGCCACCTATTGGCAATCACACGCATGGATTATCTAAATTTTTGATAATTCCTAAAATTTTTAAATATTTAAACAATTTTATGTAAGTGCAAAATTTTGTATTTGAAGTGTGAGTATATTTGTATTATCGGTTAAATTTGAGCATTAAAACATATTCTATTAAAATGATGTTGGTGATTGTTTATTCAATCATAAAGTTCATAAGTACGTTTCACACAACTTAAGGACGGTCGTGGAAACTTAAATAATGAAGAGCGTTGGTTTGTTGGTTGCAGTAACAGATCACCAGATATCCTTGCTCTGCCCATACCATGCGATTATTCCCCGTTATACCACCACATTTGCTGCAAGTTAAAAATTTATTAATTGCGAATAAATTGCCAAGAAAAAATCAGAGAAGATGTGTGTGATTTTTTTTATAATAAAGACTTTTTGATTCAAATATTTTATAATATTTTATTTTATATTATTATATAAACCGAACAGAAGACATTCCGCCTTTCGAAGAAAAGCCAGAATGTCAGCAGTTAAGGATCTCCAAATGTCAGAAGGGAAGTGTAGTTCTCAACCCAGTGACCTCCTCTTTGACCGGATTAAGGCTGAGCAGTTACAGAGAATGTAACTGGAAGTCTCGTCTGCTTCTAGGCAGAGTCGACAATCTATCTCTTCGGGCAGACCCATTTTGTTAAATTGATAACGCAGTCCATGGTGACCCGTTAAATATTCCACCAGCAACCTCAACCCCGTTCTGCTGAAGACACCTTACCGTAACTAGCTCTTTAGCCTGACGGTTACCTGGAATGCCGCACCAATAGTGACTACTCTCGGTTGAAAACCATTTTTCAATCAGAGACGTAGTTGTAACTTAATTCACTATGTCTTTTCGTTCCACAGAGCTGTATGGCAGATCCTGACCTCGCAAAATTGTCCGCAGACTCATTACCATTGCTTCCTGTGTGACCAGGAACCCAGCAAAGCAACACTTTTTTTTGCTTCCCAGTTGCTACAGCGTGTCATAGCAGACACAGAAGCTTTGAGGAAAACTTTCAGGAGAATAAGACTTTAATAACCTCTTCACTATCTGAGTAAATACAGTTATAAGCGCCTTTCAACCCATTACTAATGTTAATACGAGCGCAGAACTCGCTAGCGTGAACCTCCGCTTGGAAGACAGTGGGCCGTATACCCAGCGCGAACAAGATTCTAGTGTTAGGACCAAAAATTTCTTCACCAACTACTTCTTTGGTTTTTGAACCGTCAGTGTATCACGAAATCACTTTTGCTTCTAAACCAGGTGTGTCATTTATTTTCTACTGAAACAAAGTTCCATATTCATGCGATCTCTCCTATTGCAAATCCGCATGCAAGGAAACAGTCTACAGATAGAATTTCGACTCTTTTTATATATAATGTATATAAATAAAATATTGAAAGCCGTTAGTTATATAAATAATTTTGATTTTATTTAATTTATTATTAGGTTACATTATAAAAATTGTTTATAGGAAGACAATATAATCACTTATATGGACTTAGGAACGTTTTAACTGGGTAATTAATTAATCTTAAATACCTAATAGAAATATTGGATATAATATAAACAAAAGTGCTTTTTTTTCATTTACATACGTTTGTTTATATATGTTACAAAATTTGTATATAAAAGTTTAAATTATCTTATGTACAAAAATGTATGACTCATACAGTTTTGAGATCTTTGGAATTTATGATGGCATTTTATCAATCGCTTCGGTATTGTCTTTGGTGCTTTACTTACTAAAATAATATATTCTAATATTAATTACACTTGGAATAAAAATACATCTTACAATATAATTATTTATAATTGTAAAAATTAATTGTTTTCATTATATTATATACTAAATTACTTTTTTTTATTTTCTTTATTTTTTATTTCAATAAACTTCTTTTTTAATTAAGTTCTTAAAGCTTTATTGTTAAAGCAATGGCACATTGATTGAATTAATTTGAAGGAAGTAAACAATTTGCTTTGGCTTTGCCGGAGCTCCAATACCCTACACACAAACCATTATTTGACTTTTACATGAATTAATAATCTATTATTTTTGTTTTCAATTTCTAAATTAAGTAATAATACAAATAGGTTATATGCTCTCTTATAGACACTTCTTTCTGATACCTCTATCTGAAATGTATTTCTAACATTTTTGAAAATAGTATGAAGAGCTGAGGTTTACAAAACCTTTTATTTGTTATAACCTATAGTTCACTTTTTTTTCATAATTACTTCGTAATGCTTGAGTGAACGCAAAAAAGAACTAATTATTTTAATTTACTTAATTTTACGTAATTATCGTTATAATTCTAATTATTCTAATTATCATTATAATTATCTCATATAAATGTCATATATAATTATCACATATAGAAATTGAGTTATAAAATCCAAATGTACTGAAAAAGCGGTCAAGCAAATGTGAATAAATTTTTATATGAAATAATCACATAAGATAAATAATCATATAAGATAATTAGATTAGTTACTTATAAAAAATAATTATATAAGATAATTGCATTAGATGTAAGAAAACTTTATATATAAATAAATTTATCAGAAAATTGTCCAGTATATATAATTATTATATAATTATGAGTTATAATTATATAAGATAATTATGTTTGATTATCATATTAGATAATTATATTAAAAAAATGATATAACATAATTATATGTGATAATTATATAAAATAAATATGTATGATAATTACATTAGATAATTATATAAAGTAATTACATGAAATAATTATGATAATTATTATTTTAAATAATTGTATAAGATAACTATCTAAGAAACTTTCATTAGATAAATATATCAGATGATGTTAAGTGTTTGTTACATTAGATAAACATATAAGTAAATTTTATAAAATAAATAAAATAAAAACCAACAAATAGATTTTCTCTCCATTAATATAAACCTTTAAAACTACTATAATTTATAAAAATAATTTAAATTCAAATTAATAAAAAATAACTTAAAATGAAGATAATTAATCTATAATGTATATTAAAGTAATTCCAATACCAAAAAAAAAAACAAAACACTCATCTACTAAAAATATACTCCAATCCACAAATCATATGAAATTGTTCAAATAATCCATTTCGAAACATGTTGGAAAGTCCTCGGCGTTATCGTTGTCCTGTGTACTAATTGCTGCAATCGCTGCTGTTATCGGTGTTGTTGTTAGTGTTGGCAATACCGCATTTGACTTAGAAAATACAATTGTTGATTTGGTTGTTGGATTAGTAGTCATTGCACTCGTGCACTCTTGTTTATTTGCGCTAATGACTATTGAATTCGATTCATTTGGTGCAATATCGCCGGTGGTCAATGTGTCACCAATGTAATCGAATGTTTCCGATAGCAACTTTTTAACATATTCAAATGAGACAAACTCATTGGAGTGGGAATTGTTACTAATAGCGTTTGTGATATTTAAATTTGCGTTGGAACTTGTATTTGGATTACCGCAAAAATTGTTGTTCTTACTTGACTGCAATGTTGTTGCTGTTGCTGCTGCTGTTGTTAGTTTTCGTTCAATTTTTGTTTTATGTGTCACTGTGGTAATATCATCGGGCCTAAACAATTGTTCAAGTTCATTTAGTTGTGATAATGCTTCATTACAACAACTACTACTGCTGCTATTGCTATTGCTATTGCCAATGCTACTATTGCTACATATGCTAAGCGCATCCGTTTCCTGTGCTGTTAACAGCGTATATGTTGTTGTTGTTAATTCAGTTAAATTGTCGTTTTTATCAACATAATCATTATCGCTGATGCTGTCGTCGTCATTGTAGTTGTCGTTGTCGTTGTCGTTATCATTGTCGATTTCGATTTCAATGCCGTGGTCGTTGTCGTTGTCGATGCCGCTGCCGATGTTGTTATCGGCAATTGAATTCCCATTTTGATTGTGTTCAATGGTGACGATACAGTTTGACAGCTCATTAAAGTTCATTGAATTGTTATTAGCTATTGTTGCAGATATGTTGTTGTTATTGCTATTAGTAATGTTGGCAATATTGTTAGTGAATATGTCGTATTTTGTATTAGCCACCGCCACTATTAACGGAGTAGTTGTTTTTTCTATTGCTGTTACCGCAGCTGCGGTTGTGGTTATAATATTTGAATCTGTTGTTGACTTTTGTACGATGTCATAATTATTATTTGTTGTTGCGGATGTTGTCATTTCACTGCAACTGTTGCTACGTTGTTGACGTTGCCGTTGTTGTTGTTGTTGTTTTTGGTGCTGTTGTTGTTGATATTGTTGATTACGCAGTTCATTTATAAAAAGTCCATTGCTGATATTTTTAATATTACCATTGCTGATTCTGTTGGTACCAGTAGAATTTTTTGCTTTCACTACCAATGATGACTCTGAATGCCTTCTTGATTTTGTTGTTGCTATATGTGCTGTTGTAGCAGCTATATTACTTCCGCTTTTCTTTGCAACCGCATGAGCTGATTTCCTGCGACCTACATGTCCATTTGCATTACGCAATGCATGATTTTTGACATGCTTCCGTAAACTGGATGGATCAGTGTAACGTTTGGTGCAACCAGGCAGTTGACAAGCATAAGGTTTCTGGAAATTTAAAGAAAAAAACAAATAAATTATAAGCAAAAAATATTTAATATCATAAATTTTAAAATAAAGCCAATCCATAAGAATCTAAGTAAATAATAAAGATCACTTTGCTCAAGTCGTTTACCTTGGCATAGAAAGCATATAAAAATTGTATAATATTACAAAATTAATAATTGACTATTTAAATTATTATATCTCAACCAAACCTTCAACTCTTCACAATCAGCAATTATACGTCACTTTTTTTTAGTGCACTAGTACTAATTTAGTATTTAATACTTGATTTAGGCTTTACACAACAGATAATGTGTTGAAAATAGGCGAACAATACGTATACTTAAAAAATATTATACATATATAGTATGTAAGAAAAGCTTGCTCTACGATCTGTGAGTACACATATACATCACAAGAGAAAACAACAAGCATAACACTTAAAGTCAAGTTAGAATTCATTAGCACACATTTAGACTTAGGGTGCATACGAGTACCCATAGTCTGCCTCACTTATGATTGTGATATACATTAGAAAGCATAGTCCGGATGAACTAGTGATACTGCCGCATCCAGTTGAAATGCAATTTTTAGTGCAAATGCGACAGGAGTTGCACTGTCATATGTTTTTGGACGTTCGTATGAATGTGATTTAAAACTTATTATAAGACGCTGTTTTATCTTTTTTTTATCTTTTATCTATTTTTTAATTAGTCTTTTTTCGCTACATCTAATGAGTTAACTTTGGTATCATTATATTGCATATTGAGATAAATTTACTGATGAAATTGTTATTTTCCTTGTGAAACTGTCTGAATGACAAATTAATTTTTATATTTAAAATCTTCACGATTTGAAATTTTATGTAAAATTAACGTTAGTAAACAAATAATATAATTTATATAGATATATTATATCTATTGTTGACAAACCAATTAAATTTATTTGTTATTCAGTTATGTTTAATCAAATTCATGTTAATGTTCCATTAAACTTTGGCTTATAACTACATATTTAATGAAGTCTCACTTCGGGATGAAACTAATAGATCTGTATAAGATACTTTGTGCCGACAGCTTTAATAGTCTTTGCTCTCTCAATAGCCTTTTCAGAATTTTGAAGCGTCAAAACTTCGCCACCTATACTTCAATTATAAGGATTTTTTTTTTGTACAGTTAAACTTAAAATGGGCGACTCAAGTATTTTGAAATTTTCCAGCTAGTACATATTAAGTGACTTTTACTTAAAAGAAACTATTATATTTAATATAGAGGTTTCAAACGGTAGTGAATTGTAACAACAAAATTTTTATTTAATTTTAATTAATTGTATTTTTGGCTGACCACACAGTTATTTGAAATATTGGCAATTAGCCATCATCAGTGTTCTTGGAATTATTTCTTATATTTAATTAATCGTAAATAATTTTTTGAGACTACAAGTACCAGGAATTGAACTCTTGCCCTACCAGAAATTCAGAGTCAGTGTTCATTAGTCAAGTCACCCAAAGCCGTACTTGACTTGCATGTTCGAACTAGAAAGTCATTGACCTTAAAACTGTCACTTCTCGCGTTACCATATCCGGATATATTAAATGCTTTAGCCACTATTTGCGATATAACCATAAAACACAACAAGAAGTAACAATTGTCCCTCTTAAAATCAAACTCTGAATTCTCAAAGTTAAATTGACTTTGTAAAGTCAAATTTTAGTCAAAAAATATGCAGTTACTTTTTAGAACTCACTTTAAAGCACTTTGTCATCATCATTGGTAGTTTCAACAAATGCAGTATCAGAAATATGTATGAGCAATGAAAAAAAAAAATTTATAAGAAAACCAAATATTAAAAAACCTAAAGTTATATAGAAGCGAATATGAAACATCTGAAAAGGGCAGTACCAACTGAGTCCGCATCTGTGCGTTAGCAAAGTATCTGCATATTTGCGTATGTCAATTGAATTAAACGATAGCGAATCTGCATTTCTTTGTGTTGTTTTTTTGTGGAAAAAGGGAAAAGTGCGTTCGCTATTTGCGTATCCACAAAGCGCATGAAATAGTCAAATATGTTTTATGCACAAACACACAAACTGACATTAAAGCAGACGCATATCTGTAGGTGCACTCACTACAGCCGAATGCATTCACTGCGTAATGCATATCAAGTAAGGCAACCATAAGTTGTTTAGTTTTCGAGTTACTTTGCAGCACAAAAGTGCTTGATTTTCTGACATTTTTACGCACATTGCATATGTGCGCCTGCCATCCTGACAGCAGCAACTGCTGTTGCCTGGTAAAAACAATAAATCACTCAAAAAAGCCTAAAGGTTTGTATCTGTTCACATGAATTTTATCAATCTCAACTATTTGCACTAAAGTTAAGTGCAAGATACAAAATTCAATTTTTAGCTAATTCAGTTTTTACTATATTTTAGCTGAACCTATTTTCACTATTCTGTTATCCGACTATTTTTAAAGCAATTAATAACTTTTTTAAGCGATTTTTTTTGTTTTTATGACAATATAATTGCACTTAATTAAACCGAAATCCAGTATAGTCGAAAGGATATTAAAGTTGTTTAAATTCACTAAGGTACTACCATAAACCGAAATATAAATTTTGCTTTGGTACCACCATTATGGCAGCACTGTTTTAGGCTAAACCAATGGATGCACTCCTATCAAGCTTTTAGCAATACTCATAATTTGTACATGAACTTCATTTTGCAGAAAATGCATCTCAATTAAATTTTCTGTCATGTCCTATCCATTAACTTACAAGCATACAAGGATATGAGAACAAACAAACGCACCTGCGTTTTTCCATTCAAATAAATAAAACTACGACTGCCTTTCCAACTATACTCGTACGAGTATAACTATCTTCTTTTGTCTGTCTGTCTCTCTGTCTGTATGTTAGTCATGCAGAACTGCATATATAGTATCTGACACTATTGTGCATATAAATAACGTTTGTCGCATGCATACTCACCGTGTCATAGTGTGTCCTTTGATGTTTCGCTCGATCTGAACTATTACTAAACGCTTTAAGGCAGCCTTTGTATTGGCAACCGTAAGGACGTTCGCCAGTGTGTGAACGTTGATGAATTTTCAAATTTTCCAAACGCGAAAAGGCTTTATTGCAACCCGGAAACTGTAAAGAAACACAAAAATAAAACAACAAAATTTTAATGAAAAATTGTACTTTGCATATGAAAGCTCAAGTCAAGATAAGGTAAAAAAAATATACTGGAAAAATTCGTCAAAAACGAAAAAAAAAAAATCTAGTAGAAATTTTAGTAAATGTTTAATACGCCAAAGGAGAATGGCAAGTGTGCGTAATGTACGAGTTTTATTTCGAGGACATCGCAGATACGAGTACTCCAAACTTATGCGCCTGGATGAAGGATGAGTGCATGTTAGATGTGTGCAGTGCTGTTACCTTTGTTGCCAGCACTAAATTTAGTGAACGTTGGCATTTAATTAGAGTACACAAAACAAACTTTAAACTGTTACTGAAGTTTTCATAGAAGCAAATTTATGTGCATATTGCGCTGCTTGATTTCGTGAATAAACAGCAAAACTTCGCAGTTTACTTAAAATTGCCACAAAAAAAAAATTAAATTTTAATGGGAGAAAAAAATCATACTTCATAAGTAAACCGAAAAGTAATAAGACCTTAATTACTGTAATTAAATTATTAAGATAAATTTAAATAAGATCAAAGCTGAAACAAACCTACGGAAACTGTTATAAAATATAAAGATCTATTTTAATATTTAATACTAATGTTAAATACCAACTTTAGTATAAAAAAAGCAACGTTCACTTTCTACAAGAAATACCCAACGAAACAACATCTGTAAGACAGCTAACTGCAGTCTTACAAACACACTGATTAAGAGTTATAGTTATACTTCAGTATTGGAACCAATGATTATTCTGAACATTATAGTGCAATTTTCAAATTCTACATAGGCCTAAAGAAAATACCGAGCAATATAAAACCCAGGCGTTGACATAACAATTGATGGAGACATATCTAAGCAGATTTGCGGCTTTATGGAAAGAGCGGAATGAAGTTAGACGATTTCTAATTGACAAAAAAAAAAATAATAATAATAATGCCTTGTCGTAATACCATGTTGTTTAGACAAAGTCAAAGAATTTTATATAAGTAAGAATAAAAACTCCATACCGATTATACAACTATAGCACATCAAAAATTATACACCCACGAAAATATTTTAACACAAGTTATTAAAATATTCCTTCAATGTTTAACATTTAAACTTCGAGCGATAAAAATTATTATTTAATATTTAATATATGCAAAACACATTAAATAGTCTAGGACAAAACTGCCTGAAGTTGAAAACGAGTCGTCTTTGCGTCGACTTTTGCATTCATCTTCTGCGGCAGTTCAACTTGGCGGGAAATACTGGGTTGTCAATTCTATTCTTTGTTAAAAGTTTCTAAATAAGCGATATTCTGACCTTCATTCTAAATCTATCTTATTCAGTTAGAATCAGTTACAACAATATGGTCTGAGTGCTCCGGCGCACTGCTCCAATATCCAATATCTGCAATATCTACTATTAATATTTCAACTCTATTCATGACTGCTTTCAATTGTTACTCTCTCCTTTTCTTTCTGGTTTGACTCCTCCAGGTTTTTCTTTCCATTTTCCTCTCCCACTTATTTCTCATATGCCTCGTGAAGTTTTTTCATTCACTTCACTTCAATTTCAATTCACAATTATCACACTTTCGCTACTCTCTGTTTTCTCTCGCACTACTTCTCTCTCGTACCTTTGTCCCTCTGGTCATTTAATTCTAATGGGATTCTTATAAAATTTCTAGTAATGTATAAAAAATACATAAACATCACATAGTATAGATGTAGGCGATACTCGTATTGTAAAATAATGAATTCAAGAGAATAGTTATTTGTAAGGTTTTGGTTACTGTGGGAATTCACGATTACTACCGGGTCAAAATAAACTACGAGCTGTACAAACAAGCTTTAACACGACAGTGATACCAGTTTAGCAGGGACTATATGTTCTAATTACGAGATTAACATTATCCAGTAAATAAACAACCAACTAGATTGATCATATCGCTATTAAGGAAGACTAGCGAAAAAGCTGTTTACAATGAAACAAACAATGAAAGAAAGAGAATGTAAGGTGAATTCTTGTCTTCAATAGAATGAAGAAGTTGTGGAAACATAATCCGTATTTACTGTACGAAAAGCTTAGCTAAATATTGAATGCCGCAAGCAGTATTCAACATCTACAATTCTTTGTCCGCCACATGCTTACCCATATCACATGTATATTCTATTTAAACACTATATATAATAACGAATTATAGTTCAGAACTAAGCAAACCACCAATTACTGAAGAAATAATAAGCAGAAAATATGTTTAGATTAAAAATATGAATAGAAAATATGATTATTTTGGTTCTGAATTATTGTCCAAAGCTAAACAACGATCAACCATTAAAAACAAAGTAAGCCGGAAATATGAGTCGTTTGATCACATTCTATGCAGACTTGAAACCACAACCCCTAAGAAAACTCAGTTATAATCCGCAGACCCATAAACATTCTCCTAATACAGACATATTTCAGTATTCAACTATGGAACGAGACAGTCAATTCTAGTTGTAAGAGTTGTACAGAAAATATATACATATAAATTTATGTGTGAAGCGCTGCATATTGATTAAATAAATATAAATTTATTATAAACTATTTACTTAAAAGAAATTTTTATTAAAATGTGATAAAATAAAAATTAATTTGAAACTAATTATTTCACAATAACTTTCTCTTTACTCATGAAACAGAATCAGTGCTTCAATAATTCTGGAAAAAAACCTAATAAAAAAATTAAAAGTATATAATTTTACAAAATAATATAAAAATAGGTTATTTTCCTTTTTATGAAGTATTTTATGGCATACATGCTTCTGTGTTTATATAATCTGAACCACGTAGATGAAGACTCACACGTGCACAGCTGCCATATTTCAATTTTAATGTGCTCCGAACCTGATGGGTAAAAGCCGATAACTCTTTGAGTGTAGGCTCAGTAAAGATATTTGAAGTGTATGGTATTTTTTAAAAATGTTTTTATTAATGTTCAACTCAAATATATAAACATTTAAAAAATCCACATTTTTTTCTTTGTTTATATAAAAGGATTTTAACAGGCCGAATGTATCTGAAAGCAAACGCTGAAGTACGAAGTTTAAAGCAAAATGATGTACACGTGATGACATTTGAGAGATGATGATGAATTATTGTTTGCAACTCAAGGATCATAAGCCAAATTGACATATGCCACATTGGAAAGATTTTCAAATATTATTAAAACACTTGATTTGGTTTGCAGTTCGTTTAAATCAGTTTTATCTTTTTTTTTTTGTAGAAATAAATTTTTTATTAGATACTTTATGTTTAAAGCAAAGTAGCAGCACATGTTGTCGAACTCACAATTTCAAGGATATTTATTTAAGACAATAAAAATTTTAATTTCAAAAATGTATCTGAGTTTTATTCTGTTCGAAATTATTTTTAGAAATGTAATATGAGTTTTATTAACAGCAATTAAAAGATACTAATAACTCTACTTTGTGTATTATATTACTATTTGGTTAAAATAAATTTAAAATCTTTAATTTTTAAACGATGTCTTCAAACAGTTAATATGAAGTAATTTCAAAAAAGTTATAAATAAAAAATCTATACTTCATTTTATATCCTATAACTCAATCAATAAATATTATAGATAAAAAACTCGGAAAATTGGTTAATTATGGATATGCCCCAACTAATTAACTTGTGCAAAGTATGGAACTTATACCCTCAATAATAATACTTTATTTAGTATCATTAGTGGGTCATATATTCAGTCATGTATCCAGTCATATAAATTTTGCTTTGAATTTCAGTGAGTCGTGGATATTAAAACAATCCGAATGTATCTCAATGCACACATTTAAGCTAAGGTAGGATAACATGCTTAAGCTAAAGAATATTATGCTTGCGACTGGAGTTTAATGGAGTTTATATTCTATATTTCTTCCAATGTAGTGCATAATGAAGTTTATTTCAGAATTTTTGTAAAGTAATGTAAAATCCAGCAGTAATTACTAAGAAATATTTTTGATCAGAGTTTCCTTCATATCACTAAATTAATTATAAAAAACTCATACATATTCATGTGTATATAAATGTGAATGTAAACAGAAACTAGTACTGTTAATGATGTTCCTTATGCACCCTTTCCCCAAACACTAGAACTAAGCCTTCAATCACTTTATTCTTTATTATTTGATAGTTCTCTTCACTATTTCTAAAGTTTCTTATATTAAAATTTCTAGTTAGTAATAATATCAAAATATAGCAGCAAAAAATTATCAGTATTGCATAGCTTTTATTATCTGTAGATTATATTGTCTGGGATGACATATCGGTCATTATCTTTCCCCGCCCTCTCCTTTCTATAATTTTTGAGGAAATTTAATAAAATGCTGATTTTTGTAAATCCAGAATTAAAATAACACTAAATCAATTTAGTATTATCAGTTACTTTACTCATAAGAACTACCAAGAATACATTTATATGAGTATATGTAAGTCTATATATAAAAAATTATTTTGTTGTAATACATATACGTTAAAAGTCTAATATATTTAAAACAAATAAATTTAAAAAAATTTATTCACATGGATTATATTAAAGCTTCTAGCGATCCAAAGTTAACTTATTGTTTAATTTCATTTATTTTAATTAATTTATTTTTTACTTTATATATTTAATTAATTATGTTTAAATTAATATTTTGATATTAATTTTTTTGTTTATATTTTTCATTTTTTTTTTTTTTTCTAATTTTTAAATTTTTTTTTTTAAATTTCATTATTTTTATTTTCATTGTTTTATTTATTTTATTGTTGAATTTCTTATGCTGAAATTCATTAATTTTTAATTTTATTATATTTATTAATTTATTAATTTTTTTTATTTCTTTTTTATTTATTTTAAATTTTTTATTTTTAAGTATATTATGTTGAAATTTAATAATTTAAACTTTATTGTTTTTATTTTTATTGTTTGCCTTTTTTTTTTAAATTTATTATGTTTAGTTCACAAGTATTTAGTTTTATTATATTTATTAATTTATTCATTTTTTTTTTACATTTATTACATTATTTATTTATTATCTTAAATTCATTATTTTTAAATTTATTATGTTGAAATTTAGTTATTTTTAATTTATTATTTATTAATTTATTATATTATTTTTTATTTAATTTATTTTTCATTTGTTTGCTTGAATTTTTTTATTTTAAGTATATTTTTAACATATATTTCTATAATTTATTTGCTTTTTCAACTATTTTTTTTTAAATTTATTTTTCATTATAGTTTATTTTTTAATTAATTTTTAATTTTTTTATTTTTGTTCTTATGTATTAATTTTTTTTTAATTCAATCTATTTTTCTTATTCCACTTTTTATATTTATTTTATTTTAATGTAGATTGTTATTTTGTTACATAACTTTTTTTGATTAATGTTTTTTTAAATTAAATTGGAATGTATTAAACATTTTGTAAATATTTTATTTTAATATATTTTATAGAGTTCTATTAATTAATTTCTTTACACTTTATATGTATATATTTAAATGGAATTTATTTTCAAAGTTTTATTTTCGTTGCTTTATTTATACTGATATATGCTTAATAGTTTTATAAATATAAGTTTTTATATATATAAAAACATATATATAAATATATGTTATATATTATATATATATTATGTTATTATTTTACTATTTAATGTACTATATCTTAAACTTACTTTATATACTTATAAATATATTTAATACATTTGTAAAGTTCAGTTTATATATACTTCATTAATTATATATTATAATATATTATATTTATATACATATATATATTAATATATTTTATATATTATATTAAAATATAAAATATATATATTATTATTATTATATTTAATGTACTATATCTTAAACTTATTTTATATACTTATATAAGTTTAATATTTTTATAAAAATCAGTTTTGTATATAGTATTTACATATTTATATATACTATATATTATATATCATGTTATATATATATATATATTATATATATATACAATGTATATATATATATATATATATTATAAACATGATTTTATTATATTATATATATATTATCTATTATTATACTATTTAATATATGGTAATATATTTTAAACTTATATTATTATTAATCCCCAAATGAAATATTCAAAAGAGAAAACTTTTTAAAATTAACTAAAAATCGCTTGTTAATTTGATATGAAAATCGCTTGCAATACTTACCGGACATTTATTGGGTTTTTCACCGCTATGGACCCGCATGTGTATGAGCAGCTTGTAACGTGCATTAAACGGTTTGTAACGACGTGGGCAGTTGACCCAGAAGCATGAAAAATCTTCACCCTTCTTTACGTCAACGTGACGCTTCTCAATGTGTGCAACGAATTCCGCTTGATTGGCGAATATCTCATTACAATCCGTCCAGCGGCAAACCAATGACTCCACCGAGTCAATAGCAACGTCAGACTGCAGCATCAATTGCTGTTGTGGTTTTGGGTATTGTTGAGAATTCATCATGGTATGTGTTGGTGATGTTGCCGTTACTATTGGTGTTGGTGTTGCTGCTGCTGTTGCAGTTGCAATTGTTGTTAATGACGATGTTATTGACGATTGTTCTACAGATGACAAAGCAGCTATTTGCTGCTCGCTGTTGTTTGAACTGTAAAGCATTTGTTGGGAGTTATTTGAACTTGACGATACACATGAGGATTGTGATGAGAGACGACGTCGACGTTGTTTCAATTTTTGCTTTTGTTGCTGGCGTTGTTGTTGTTGCTGCTGTTGTTGTTGTGAATGTGAATGTGAATATTGCTGGTATTTTTTTGCTGTTTGTTGATGTTGTAAATGCTTTTGCATGGTTTTTGATTTGTGCGGGTATGTAGTCACCACTGAACTTGTTTGTGTTGTTGTGGTTAGGAAAACTGAATCATTATCCTCTTCATCACCAATATAACTTGCATCAGTTTCAAAATTTTTATCATATATGTAATCAAACAAATTTTCCTCATCCTCATCGATTTGACAACTGTTTCCTTGTTGTTGTTGCTGGTGGCGTTGTTGCTGTTGCTGTTTATGTTGTTGCTCTTGTTGTTGTGGCTGTTGCTGTTGTGGTTGTGATTGCTGTTGCTGTTGCTGTTGTGGTATGTTGCTACAAAATTCACTAATTAGTTCATCATTAATTTCATCTAATTCCTCAATGGTCCAAATTATTTTATGCTCACGATTGGGTTTCTCTATGGTTAGCAAATTATTATATTGATAGTTCTCAGGCAAATGCTCGTAGTTATAGATTAGGTTGTTAACATTTTGCTTTAAGTCTTGTTGCTGTTGTTGCTCCACTTGTTCGAAATCTGCAATTGTTGGACTATAGATATGTCTAGGCAGTTCAGTATACTGTGAACAATCATAATTATGCACATCTTCATATTTTGGTGTACCGAAAGTGGAGAGCATAGATGGCAGTTTTGTATTTGCCTGTGAACAACCAAGTGTGCTACTCAAGAGTTCTTGCTTGATACCATTATTGTCATTCGAAACGTTTCCTTGGTAATTGTAACAGGTATTGTTCAATTTTGGTGAATGCTGGGTCTGTTGTGATATTGTATTTTGTTGCTGTTGTTGTTTCTTTTCTTGCTGTTGCTTTTCTTGTGCTGCTATAGTTTCACCCAAATTAAGTGTCATCCAGGGATCTAAAGCTGGTGAAGAACAAGGCGACTGGTTCTTACTTTGACAATTTATTTCATCATAATTAAAATATTCAATGTCCAAATTTAAACATTCAGCGCTGAAAAATGTTTCCTGCTGCTGTTGTTGTTGTGGTTGTTGTGGTTGTTGCTGTCGTTGTTGGTATTGTTGCTGGAATTGTTGCTGTGTTTGCTGTTGCATATTGCTCTCAACAGCAAAAGTGTTTGTCACTTTTTGTTGTTGTTGTTGTGACTGTTGCTGCTGTTGCTGTTGTGGTTGTTGTTGTTGTTGTTCATATGCATTTGCATAACAAATTCCACTAACATTTGTACTCGGCGTAAATGTTGTATAAGGCGTATATGGTGTATAAGGTGTATGCGGTGTATACGGTGTTTGCGGTGTATACGGTGTTTGAGCTGCTGGCTCAGCTGCAATAACCTCTTCGAAATTACAATTGTCAGTTAAGCGTGCAATATCCTCTGGTTCGAAACGGAACACATCCTCCCTGCTGAATTGCGCATTGAAAGTGTTTTGTGAATTTTGCAACTGCAGCATAACTACATCATCAGCACCGGCATCATCATCGCCACCAGCCACCGCCTCAGCAACATGCTCACCATAGCATATGTTGTTATGTTCACTATTATTGTTATGGCAACTGTTGTTATCACCGCTGCCCATGCAATCACTGAAAACGGAATTCGGTGTTTCGGCTGCATAACTCAATGAAAAATCGCTGAAATTTACGTCCGCGCTGCTAAAGTCATTATAGTCCACATTGTAGGCCTTAAGATTGCAATTTGGCGCGCGAAAGTGTTCATGTGCCGCTGTGGCGCTCAAAGGTGGCGACATGATCGCACAATTGCTGACATGATATGTGGTGCCAGTGCTGCTGTTATTATGGCTGAGACTGGCAATTGCACATGGTGTATATGGCGGTGTTGTGGGAGTAGCATCACTTACTAAACTTGTGGAATTGTAAAGTTTGAAATTTTTAAGGCTAGGAATGGTCAGTTGTTGTGCCGTGAGCAAAGTATTGATTTTTAAATTTGCTGACATTGTGGATATATGCTGCGTAGATTTGGGAAACCGTTTAACAAATTTTGTTCTTAAATCATATAAATTATTTTTTTATAATTACAATATTTTCATTGTTTTAAGCACAACATTTTGTGTTTTGAATGAAACTGTCACTTTGAAGGCGTATATTGTTGTGAAAACTTTCGACGAGACATTGTCTCTTCATTGTCTGAAATGTGAAGCCTAAAAGTGTCTGCGATTTGAGAAATAAAAACTCAAATGCGAAAAATTAAATCAGCAATAAATTTACCGTGCGAAGTGTCACTTTGACTCACTAAAATGTCACTTTTTAGTCTGTTGCCGTTCCTAGACGTTTTTTTTCCTCCTATTTTGTATCTAAATTATATTAACTTGGCACCGGTGCCAAATTTTCGCGGGAAATCCCAATGATACTAAACGGAACACATATTGTTTATTTTTTTTTCGGTTATTATTTTTTGATTTTTTCTAACTGCACAATTTGGTTTTGTCACAATTTCCGTCGAACGTCACACAATAGTTTCACATTTCACAAAATTTATTCGATTATTTAAATTTTGATAAAGAAAATTTTTAAATTAATTTCAAATTTGTGTGAAAATCTAAATTCAAAATAAAATTACAATTTTTTTAAGAATCTCAGCGATCGTCTGGATAATCAACGATGTTGCCGACTCAACGTTTGCTCGACAAATAAACCTCGACACTTCAGACGACACATTATTTAAGCACACGTCTGTGCGATGAATATTGTGCGTCCATATTGCCTGACACTGCTACCGTTAAGGCAAAGGATGCTTCAATCTTGATCTTGTGCCGCATTGACTTATGCTGCAGTGTCGTCTTCTGCTTTATGCACTTTTCTGTGATCGACGATCTTCACTATTCCTGTGCACACACATGCTTGGCACTTGCATTTTTGCTGCAATTGTCGCACCGAAAAATCATCATTTCACTTCGTTGGCCTTTTTTTCTGGGATTAGTGCGCTGCGATCGCCTTTTTCACAGTTTGTTGGCATATGTTTATGAACGTTTTTATGTGTGTGCCTTCCTAGGCACCACAGTTAACGCACTTTGATGAGATTTTTATTTTAATTTCTTTAAAAATGCTGTAAAATTAATTTTTTTTAATGTACTGAAATAGTGCGTGAGTCAGTGTAAGTCATGCTGGAAATTTTCTAAATGATGCATGATCTATGAATATTTATCAAAGGAAATAATGAAATTTTGACATTGAAAATATGTAATTTGTAAAAAGACTGTACCAGTACCAAATAGAACCTAGACTACTAAATATTAAGCCTCCTTATCTCAACTCTTTCCCCCAATTACTGAATGAATTTTCTCACAATGCAATCCCTGCCAATGGTGACAAAGCTTCACCATTCAAGCCTGAAAGGACATTTTAATGGATTAAAACCCCTCTTTGACTTTTGATACCTTCCATCTGTATGCATGTATAAATATTGTAACTATGATCTTGTGCAATACAGATCCAGTTTTTAACTGAATATCATTGTATCATTATCACTGCACTGAAGCCACTGTAATTCGGAAACATTTTAACTCCAAAATTTATATAAAATTTTACAATTTTGGAAATAACGACCGAAGTCAGCCCAAAACCTTACGGAAGCATATTTAAGTCAGTTAAGTCAGAAAGAATTAATTTTCAGTCTAGCTGAATTGAATGTAAGCATATATGTAATATATACATATTATGTATAGAATAGAGCGATCAAGATAAAAGCAGTATTACAATGATTTCTGCATAATAGAATGATAATATGAAAAGGCAGGCAAGCATTCATATTATTTTCGGAAGAAAAATTATTAAAGACATATTTAAGTCAGTTTTGGAAGATGATATTTATAGATATAATTATAAACTCGAACATGATTTTTTGAACTCCTCCATACGTTTATATAAGTTTAAAACGCAGTATATATATGAGTAAACTCATATATTAATATGAGTTTTAATATTATATATGAGTATAATTACAATTATTTTTATAATTTTTCAATAATCTATCAAATATTTTATTCAAGTAAATACTAATATCCGATTGAACCGATTGATATAACAAATGGACTCAGTCCGTTATAAACATGTTATAAACATGATCACATTTCATGATAATGTTTTATTTCTTTCATGGTGGAGATCAATACTGTTCCTGCAGTACCACAATAGGCCATCATTTGAGTTCAAGTGGACTTTTTAGAAACAAGGCCGCCACTTCAACCTACCTGCCTACCTTCATGACGGAATGCGATCTTTCAACACTAGTCATTGCAACTTCCCAAGACCTCTTTTACACTATGCGCCTGTTTAAAAATTAGAAAATTTCAACCATCTGAATTTAAAACAAAGTACCTTAAAAACATGCCTTGCGGATTTTTATAAATTTCCTACAGGCCCTTTAGTTTGTATTAACAGTGCAATACACTCTATTGCACGTAAAAGCGATCTTGGCACACATGTTACAAGTGTGTTTGGGGTTGACGTTTTTATTTCTTTAATTTTCTTTATTTTCCTTTTGTTGTTTGTGTAATAGCACTGTTGCTGTCGAACTTCAACACTAGTTTTTATTAACAGTGTTCTTCTTCTAACTGTATAAATGCTTCCGTTGTAGTTGTAAGTAAAACACAAAAAAAAATAATAAAAAAAAGAAAACCAAATAAAAGCAAATAGAATTTTGCATAAAAATATAATAAAAAAAATTTAAATTAATTTTACCTAAAAGTGTAGCAACCAACATCTTCCCCAAACTTAAAACAAAATAAATAACATTTAATAAAAAAAGATACGAAGCAACTTTTGTTAACATTAATAGGAAAATTAAAAGGCAACAACAACAACGCTAAAGAGCATATAAAATGCAGTTTTGCTAAATGTGTTTTGATAAAATATTGCTCTATATTTAGCTTTGCCTAACAGTAGCGCAACAGTGCATGTGTTATTCTTGCCTATTTACTGTTGCTGTTAATAACACTTTTGTTTTTGTTTTTCTTTTGTTTTTGTTTCTCATTTGGTTTTTACATAGCACGCATGACAATATGTTTTTAATTTGCTGTGAAAATTTATTTCATTTGCATTTTCCACACTTCCATGAAAATATGCACATTCATATATAAAAAAATACATAAATAAGGAAATTGTTGAACTTTAAATAATATTTTTATGATAAATTCAATTTAAAAAAAAAAAATTAGTTAATAGTAATTTTAAACCTGCAGCCGACATTGAAAGTGTTAGGACGTTACTGCGCTGCAGCTGTTGTTTTTTGTGTTTTTTTTTTCGTTTTTGTTGTGTTTCTGCATTAGTCATTTCACCTTTCCGTACTGTACAGTAGTGAATTTTTCTCAGTTACAGTAGCAATTTTTTTTCTTAAGAATTTATTTTAACATAGATTTTCCTTGTTTTTCTGCTTTGTACTCTAATTTTTATTTATGTTTCTTCTTTTTATTTGCATTTTTTATTTTTTTTGGCAAACATTTAATTTTGGCGTGCGTCTGCCACAAGCAAAGTGTCTCAATTCAAAAGCGATTAACGCTTTTTGCCGTTCAACATTTTGTCACATTCGCGCTTTTTGTTGTTAATTTATTGTGTTTTGGTGTTAACGCAGCGTCAGGCACAACCGTTCTCGCCGTACTTATTCTGGCCGTACGTTTTGGGCGCGTGGCCAAAACGTTGACGTTCTTCCGTTTGTTTTAAATTAATATTAAATTTTATTTTATTTTATTTATTTTTTTTTTTCAAATTAGATGTGTTTTCTTGTATTCTTCAAACGTACTGTATAGCAAATTACATCATTTTTTAAATTAGTAAAATTGTGCCTCCTCAAAACGCGTCATTAACGCTTCTGCTTCGTACGATGCCATTGTGCTTAATTCCTATTCTACTTAATTCCTGAGGTGGACTCAGATAAATCGTTTTTATATATAAATTTGTCATATAATTTTTCATAAGAAAATTTAATTATTACAGTGAATATACGATAACGTCACTAAAATAATATAATTCAAATATTAATATTTTAATAATTATTTTTTATTATGTGTGGGAAGTGTACAGTGGCGGAGCTAGACTAATTCAGGACGTCGGCGATTCTGAATTACGAGGCCCCATTCATTACCGAGTTATAAAAGTAAATAATTACCATTGATTAATACGACGAAGGATGTATGAAAGTTTTATTGCTAATCAAATTAAAATAATTTAATTTTCCTACTGAATTATTTTATTGAATACTGAATTATTTTTAAAATTATATCATAATTTGCACCAGCTATTATTTTCGCTTCAATTGATAGAACTACCAACGCAGATAGTCTCTCTTGGCTCATCATACTTCTCAAGTAGGTCTTAATCAGTTTTAACTTTGAGAAGTTTCTTTCGGTAAAAGCTATTTTGACTGGAACTGTGAGCATGATTCTGGTTACTAATAAATATTTGGATATAATATACTGGACGAGTTATATCATTGATTGAGTCTACTAAGTTCGATTTTTCTCATACATTTTAATAGGCCGATGTATACCTAAAGCCTTACAATGATTGAAAAGGTCATCGTTTGATAAAATTTTCATATGATTAATGTCGTAAATCGAACCAGATTGTTCAAAATATTCATTAAATGCTTTGAATCGACAGTTAGTAATTATTTGCGAGGCCCCTGTATGCCGGACGTCGCTGACACCCAGCACCGCCACTGGAAGTGTATATACTAGACCACTCACTTTGGTTTTATAATTTAGAATTGTAGAACAATATATTATAAAATGAATGCTATTGCTATCTTTATTAATTTTTTTTATAAAAAAATATAAAAAAATAAAAATCATGCAACAAATAATGCCTCTAAAAACAATTAAAAATAATAATATAATTAATTAATTGAATTATTCACAACTGGTTTATGATTTCTTTCTAATATAAACACTGCAAGTGAATTTTTTAATAAAACTTTCACAGCAAATTAACAAAACTCCAGAGAAAC